AGATTTTGAAAAATTTCTTCACCATTTCTATGGATGGCCCGATGCATACAGAGAAAAGCATAATTTAATCCAGATTCAAAGGTTATACAGTCAAAAGTCGTTAAGCCGGGCTCGTCGGGACTTCAGCGATTCCGGATTATCGATCATCAGTTTAAATCTGGTAAAATGGCATGCAAAAAATTATAAAATTAAAAATATGAAAACGTAATTTATGAAATAAAGAACAATTATGATCTAAAGGGTATCAAAATTTACAAAAAGAAAAAAGCTTAATATTTATTTGTTTACTTTATTAAACATTTCTTTCAGTGTAAGTTGTTTAAGTTACTTCATTTTATGTGATAATACTTTCTCTTTAATTCTATAAACAGACATAATTTCTTGTTCAGTTACAAAGTCCCGCTGTTCAAGTCCCGTTAATTGCTGTGCTGAGAATACTGACTAATTTGTCAATCGAAATTTTTTCATTTTCAATAACCTCTGTGTCACTTTCTTCACTATCGGAAGCGAATTATAATGATCAGGAATTTGATTTAAATCATATCAAAGACGGAGTACATCGAGATGAAATACTACATTTAGTAAGGAATTATAAGCCGAATAAAATAAAAACATCTGCCCTGAAGATAAGGATAGTACTGACAGATCAACTTCCAATATCCATCTATCCACATATCCACCCATCTATCTACCTACTTACGACAACATTTTGACATTAACCAAAAAAAAAAAAAAAAAAAAAAAAAAAAACTTTCCCATTGCAGTTTTGGGAAATTTGGGCTTACTTAATGAAACCCCGTGCCAGTCAGAGTGTTAATACTATCTGAAACAACTAAGTTAAACAGTTGCAATAGTTTGATAATTCAAGAATTAGTACCTCAAAAATAAAAATAAAATTAAAAAAAAAAAAAAACAACAGAACATAAAAGTCTTACTAGACAAAAGAGAAACATGCAATGTATTTAAAACTAAACAAAGAAAGCAAACTTTGTCTGAACATATTAGAAAATAAAACTCTAAGGTTTGTTTATATATAAATCTCTTCATGGAATTTTCATGGATGAACTGACCTTCAGTATGTTATGACTTCTGCCTTTTACCACTCATAATACTGAATAAATTTTTAGTGCATTAGAAAATATTCTTCGTAAAAATCTTTAAATATAAATATTATTCTGAAAAACATCTTTACTTTTAGTAAAGCAGCATTTGCTCTACATAGCCTAACAAGTTCTTAATATTGTTACAAATTTGTACATATGTAAATAACTTCAGTGAAATTATATTGCAAAATTGTAGTTTTATTCATAATGTAACATGAAATGCTTGAAAGAAACGATGATCTAGAAAAATAAGATTACAGGGGCAAGTCTATTTAACATTGAAGTAACTATCTCGTTAAATTAGCAAAATATAGGTAAACTGACTATGGTTCTGGCGACTAATTTTTGTTGCCAAATTTGGCAAGCATTTGGGGGCATTTGGGTCTGGTGCCTGTATAACTGTAATTGGTATTGTGATTGAATAAATGTAATTGATCCCTACACGTAACCGGCTCTCATATGCTTTCCAGTAATTTCTAGAAGTGGAGCATGCTAGAGATTTATTTCTCAGAGGCTGAGGGAAAATTATATAAGACCAGAGAATGCATCAGTTTCTCAGCTGTTAGTTCAGAGCTGAATTCAGAATATTGAGATATATGCGATAGCTTAGCCTTTTACATGCACTCTGCCTCATGTTGTATTTAACATTCTTAGTAGTTTGAAGTGTAACTACTGGTTGTGCTCTGTGATACTGAAAACAGCTGTATGAATACTTTTGTTTAAATTTTCAGAACTGTAAATTGTTTCTTTTTGGTAAAATAAATTTATCAAGCTATCATCGGTTCAGTGTACATTCAATCCATAACAAACTCATACGCATGCAACAATTCTTTAATTAATTCAAAGTTTTTAATGTATAAAGAAAAATAGAAAATTAATAAAAAACAGATGTTTTATACATATTTCTTATTTTTTTCTCCTAACTTCAAACACATTTTATACTTCTTTCACATAAAACACTCTCCATAAGGAATAATTTTGCAATAAAATCTGCGAGATTAATTAATTAATTGTATACAACATGCATTTGTTAAATAATTTGACTTGAAAACATTCTACGATTAAAAAAATTGAAATTAAGAAACATTTCTTACAATTAAGTAATATATTAAAAATTTCTGACATAATAAAAAATACCTTTTAATTTATTTATTCATTCTAAAGGAATATTCTACATAGCTTCAAAATAGTCTATTAAACTTTCTCATATTCAAAAATAGATTAAAAATGAAGATTTTAAAAATATTAAAACACTAAGTTAATGATTAACTTAGGTGTCTAATTAATAGAAGCTATGCACTTATTATTAGAAAAGTATTTAATATTGCAGTATAAAAAATTATTAATGTCTGTAAACACTTTAAATAAATCTTAAAAAAGAGAGCAAAGAAATGAAAGGGCAATATACATTCATGGAAAAATATAACTCATTTGATACTGTTATAGCTGGATATCACAGCAATGGGATAAGACTGTACGAAATCTGCCAAATAAAGTACTTTGGGCATTACAGACTAAATGAAATATTTCTATAAATAAATTGTTTCTGATCTCATAAATTTATGTTTCATTGCGCAGCTGTCCTTTATCCAGTATGCAACTTCATGCCAAATGGATAAAAGATGCTTTATTCCTGTTTGCACTAGAATGAAGACTATGTTGTCCTGGACAATGTCACTTCATACATTTCTTTTTCAATTTCTAATACATAAATTCAATTATTATGAGTTTAACCCTCATGAAGTGACTTTTCCACTAATTTTTTGCATGCCCACAAATTAAATTTTCTGTTTATTTTATTAAATGTTCAGATGGCTTAATATTAATGAAATAAGAAAAATGACAGAAATTCTGATAAAAAATATCTTATTTTTAAACAATTAAAAAAATTTAGTTGATTAAGTAATTAAAGAAAAACACTTTAAATATTGGAATAAAATTATAATGTCTTGAATAAAAAGACCACATATTACTTAAAATCGTGGACTCAAACAAAAATGAGGGCTGGAGTGGATGAAGTGAAAACAACTGACAGGACAGATTTTTTTTTAACACAATTAAAATTTTATTAGCAAAATTAACAAAAAATTAAATTAATTTCAAATATTACTTAATTAATATTTATCAACTCATATATATACAATAATGATAATTTCAAAAAGAAAATCTTATATATACATATTTAATCTGAAATCTAAGTTTGGCTCCTGTAAAACAATTTCGCTGGCTATACTTTGTAACTCGAATATACTGTGGGATGTCATCTTTCATGACTGACAGATGGTGCTGGATGGCATAGGACTGAACTGTTTTTCTGAGAAATAGTAGACAAGATTGCCATTAAATAAAAGACATGGCGTATGATAGTGTTTTCTGATATGAAAGACGTTGAACTTCTCTACATCTGCAAATACATTTTTTATTTCTATTTCTATCTACATATGTTATCAAATCATTGATAATCTTTATTAAATGTACAAGTTAAACACTCACTTTGAGTTATTACATGTCTTTTACACCTGGACAATACAAGTTTTAAACTATATGGTTGTAGCTTAATGTTCTTAATAAAGTTAGGAGGGGGAAGTGGTAGTCACCACACAAATCTACGAATTTCTTCCAACATTTTGGTAGTTTTTCAAAGCCTTCAGCAAAGAAACTTGGTGGCCGCGAGTACAAAAACAGATCAACCTCCTTCCAGACATCCTGTGCAGAATGGAAGATAGCACCAGCAAGATGTAGCTATAGATGTAGGTATGAAAAAAAAGTAGAAGTATGAAAGAGTGATGTTGGGGCTATATAGTGGATGTGGCAAAAGATCATATTCCAGTCTGTATAGAGTCTAGCATGTGAATGCAGACACATGTGGTCTTGCATTATCTTGATGGAACATTACCTTTTTGTGCCGGAATTCAGTTTGATATATTTTCTTGATAGCAGCATCAACAGAGACTAGCATCTTGCTCTACACCTTATTGTCAAGAGTTTATCTTAATCCAGATACTCTTTGTGGATAATACCATAGCAATCTTGCCAGATACACAGCATGATCTTTTTGTTAGTCGTATAGTGCTTTGTAACACTGCAGACAAATTAACAGGGCACAGACCAACTCTCTTCTCAGCCTGTGTTGTTGAAGTAAATCTATTTTTCATCATAAGAGATGATCGGGTCCAGAATTTTGTTCTTGTGTCGATATTCGGGTAGATTAGTGCAGGCCTGAACATGTCTGTCCTTATCTGCTCGAGTCAGCTCATGCGGTACCCAGCGATTGAACTTGTACATCAAGTTCATTTGATGCTTAGTGCAACTAACAGACATGCCACTACCGTCTAACTCCTTAACAAGCTTTCGAATGGTTGCATACTGAACTTCTTCCACAAGTTCTTGCAGGCATGTCTCATCAACATCAGTATGCTGGCCACAGCTCTTTGCTTCTTGAATGTTATAATCCTTGTTTTTGAAAATTCAGTACCAAACCTTCACAGTGTCATATGATACAACATTAGTACCTAGAGCTATACAGTATTAATATCATATTGTAAATTACTTAGCTCAATTCATAGATTTTCTGATGTATTATTCATGTTCATTTTTAATGGATATGTCTTTATCGGCTACATAAAATCGTTTCAGGGGCACATGTGGCCCAGAGGCTTAAACCATTGACTTAAAACACAAAGTTTATTTACAGCTTAGTTATTAAAATCTTAAAAGTTTTCACTTCATGTTTTAATCATTTTCAAGTGGATTCACTGATTATACTAAAAACATACATGGTAGCACCTGCAACAGAAGTATGTAATTGTCTTGATCATGCACAAAGCATACCTTTAAATAAATTAAAACAATATATACAGATATATACAGTTTATATAATTTAAACATGAACTTTACCTTAAATCATTTTCAGTGGAAGAAATCCCATCATCCAAAAAGAGTAAAGTATTCTTTTTACTTTCTCCACTAGAGGGTGTAACAAGAAAAAGTGATTCTTCATCCTTAGTGATATAATCTCCCAAATCTTGCTCTTCAAACAATGACACATCACCTAATAAAAAAAATAAATAAATAAATAATATAAAAATAAATAAAATAATGTAAGAAAGCTACATACTGAAAGTAATGTAAAGTATCTACAAACATTTTTTTTTAATTTAATATTAATAACTTACACAATATTTAAATTATGATAAATCACCCAAAGACAAATTTCCGAAAGCTTTTAGAGCATTAGAAATCATCAAACATTATTTTCAGTTTATCGTTACCATTTGTGAACTTGATAAATTAACAATGATGCATTTCTAATCAATTTTAACTAGCAGTAAATATCATAGCTAAATTGATAAAAAGAATACCAAATACATTATGCTCAAAGATATAATTATTCATACTAACAGGTATACAGTTTAGAATGCAGATGAAATGTTCATGCACGAGACTAAATGAAGTTTTCTTTATTAAACTAACTCAATCCCTATCCATATTGTCTAATATTTTTACAACAATTTATATCTCTTATAAGTTGGATGTGTATTTTCAAATGTCCAATACAATGCCACGAAATTTAGGAAGTAGCCTCAGAATAAAAAGGCTTAAGAAATGAAGTTTTGTCACAGTTAAGGAAATGAATTTAAAAAAGTTTTCAGGTTAATTACATTTATGATGGTAAGCGAACATAAATGATGGGCATAATAATGTCAGTATTTAATACAGAAGAGACATCAGAATCTTCAAAATCCTATAAATCCCATAAAAAGTCTAAGGCTAAAAAATTTTGAACCTTTTCTGCCATTCAAACATTTCAAATCCTAAACTTAATTTAAAAAAAAAATCTTATGCTGACAACACAACTTCCTTCTATGGCTAGTTGGGCCCACCAGCGGCCGAGTGGTAAAGTCGCTGAACACTGGTAGTTCGGTCGAAGGTTCGAATCCCGCGAACGGGCTGGCTGCATGGGCGTTTTCGTGGTTTTCCCCATGTGTAACGTGTATACGAGCCAGTTTCCCTTAGAAAGTCCTCCACGAAGGCCTCCCTTTCCTTAGGCAGATAGCCCTCGAGGCTTTGCCATAATCACACACACACTCTATGGCTAGTTAAGTTATGCACATTTTCTGCTGGTTGCAAGAATAAACTGACATTAAATATTGTTAGAGTAACTACATATAAGTTAGATTTTGTAATCTGTCAAAAGAATTCTTTTTTTAAAAAAAATTTGACATTGCAAAAACATGATATTTTCATCATTTAAAACATCTCTGTAATTGGAAATATATAAATATGACCCAACAATTGAAAAAATAAAGGCCGGGTAAGGAGAAGGGTTTGTATACATATATATACACAAACAATACACAGGGTTCATAGCCACATTTTAGTTAAAAAAATAAGCACTTATAAGCACTTTTCAAGCACATTTTAAGAAAAAAATAAGCACCTGTATAATTACATTATACACAACTGCATAACCTTAAAAATTAGACTTGTAATTTAAAATATGAGAAATGCAGTATTTATTAAGAGAGAATAAGCATTATCTCAACCATGGAAAATAATTACTTTTTTTTTTTTTAAATTTTAAATAAAAGTTCAATTTACAGAACTAGTTTACAATGAGAGGAAAAAAAAAAAACTATGCAGAACTAACACAAGATTTGATGATGAAATTTCAGTTCAAAATAAAGAAAATAAATAATAATAAAGCATATTTATTGCATTCGCTTGGAACTTAATAATAAATACAATTTATTTTTCTACTCATATTGATATTTAAATAATTTAAATCTAAATTCTGAACATTTTCTAAATTTTCATTGTATATCAGTTTTCCCTTAACAGATATTGCAAGCAAAGTAATTTAGGTAAAAAAGAGGAACATTTCTGAAATCAGAAGACAGAAATTTGCTTCATGCAGTCATCCTTTAACAGTAAAAGCTTAATTAACACGCATATTTGGAAATTGGCGAATATTCGGACAGTCGATCGTAACTTGAAAAAAAGGAGCAGGAAAAAAGGGGGGTAGGCAGTTGCCGCTCTTTAAAGTGTTTCGCTAAATAAATGCTTTTGACATTTCGATATGTGCATCATATAAAAATTAATTAATGGAACTGAAAAATATTCTGCTTAGCAAGCACAGTAAAACTCTTTTAAGTGTTCATAAACAAATCTCGGACAAAACATAAAAATTAATTATCTCTGCAAAATATCGCGAACGTTATTGCGCAATATGTGTGCCATAATTCTTCCCTATGTGATATTACGCAATCGGAATCAATAGCTGCTGGTATTGGGAGAATAAATAACTGTGTTTTTCATTCTAATTTTCAACAGGTGGCATTAAGTTTCCGGAACAGAACCATTCTTCGCTTGGGTTGGTAGATCTCAGAACTTTTAGTCCTATTCAATCCAGATTGGAAAATGACCCCCCCCCAAAAAAAAAGGTCCGTTGCTTGTTTTGCAGCGAACTGTAACAGTTTCAATATTCGAGATTTTGCGGATAAAGGGGAGAACCTCCCAATCTTCGTACTGTATAATGTATTGGCCAAAAAAAAAAAAAAAAAATTAAATTATTTTGACTATTCGATTACTTTCCCTTTATTTAAGCCATTCCGAATATTATTCCTTAGAAAGCTAATCTGTGTCAAAACACAACGATATTTGGAAGTTTACTATACTTCAGCAGTTACTGCAACTATGTTATTATAAACATTCATACATATGCTCATAATATAAGCATAATGATCATAATAAACACGAATATGAACTGATCAAGCGGAACGAGAATGCAAATTATTAAGATCTTGATAGAAATTCAAACGTGTGTAGTATTCGGGTGGAAGTAAAAGAATGCCGAATGTATCGGAATTTTCTACTGCTTTCGCAATTCTTTGACCAATAGAACGACGGGCACCTGTCTGTACTCTTCGTGAATACCAAAGGTTATGTTAATGCAGAGAAAGGGGGAAAAGCTATTTCCGGGCCGGGAGTATGATTCACCGTCTGACATTTCATATTAGGAAGAAAAGTTGTTTATTTAGTTTCGGCTTTGGTACGGGGAAAAATAGCGCGTTCATTAAAAAAAAAAAAAAAAAAAAAAAAAAACACTAAAAGCAAAAAATAAGCACTAAAAACAAAAAAATAAGGGCTTTAAAGAAAAAGTAAGCACCTATAAGGGCCTTTATATTTTATTTTCAAATATAAGGACTTATAAGCACTTATAAAGACCGCTACGAACCCTGAATACACATACACACATAAATACACTTGGTTCTGCCGACTGCAATAAAAAAATGAAGGTGCACAACTAGATGTTGTAGCAGTCCCACATTTAAAATTTCCATGTTCTATGGCTAATCACTTTCGAGTTATGCAAGATGCATGCATACATAAATACATATGGATGTACGTATAGATGTCATGAAAAATTCCCTTTTGAATCCATTTTCAATCTGTTTTAGAAAAAAAAAAAAAAAAAAAAAAAAAAGAGTCCTTAATTATATTCAAAAGTACCAAAGTCAAACTAACACACACAAAAAAAGAAGATATTTCTGTGGAAATATAATACCTGGAATTCTGTGCGATTACAATATTTTCTACAAAAAATGAAAAAACGGGGACTATTAAATTGATCAAAAGATTAATTTTAACTAAAAAAGTACTCACAGAAAGAGGGGAAGAACAAATGTTGCAAATCTGGGCACCTATTTTACACCACAAGCAATCTTCAGTTTTTTGGCCACCAGAGGTCGCTACTAGTGAAAACCAGCTTTACGTCTAGCTAACCAACTTGGTGTCTAGCTAACTAGTGAAAAAAAACTTGGTGTCATGTATTATGAGTTGCTCAAACCTAACGAAACCATTACTGGGTACATAACAAACATAACTGATAAGACTGAGCTGAGCACTCAGAGAAAAATGCATCCACTACTGCTCCAGACATGACAAAATTATTCTCCTGCATGATAATGCTAATCCACATGTTGCAGCGTTGGCCAAAACCCACTCAAAAATACTTAAGTGAGAAGTATTCACCAGACATTGCTCCTTCTGTTTACAACTTGTTTTGATTGATGACGACGCATGGCCTGTCTCAGCAGTGCTTCACATCACATAAAGATACAAAAATTTGAGTTGATTTGTGGATGACCTCAAAAGATGAAGCATTCTTCCAATGTGGTGTCTGTACACTGCTAGAAAGTAGGTAAACGTAGTGGCTAGCGATGGACATTACTTTAAATAAAACAGAACGTATCATTCTTTCTTAACAAATGGCGCCTTTTTACAGAAAATGGTGGACACTTATTTGTACTCCCAATATATATATACTGTATTTGATGGCATATAAGACGCACCCTTATTTAGAAGGCCACACACAAGGAAAAAAAGTTTCAATAGTCCACGCGACAGCACGGTACCACAATAACTTAAAATGTGGTTTCTTTTAGTTCTCACGTTTCATAAAAGCCAAATAAACAATCATCGAATAATGTGTCGTCTTCTGTTCCGTCAAGAGCATTACTGATTCCGCACTTCTTAAAGGACTTAACAATTACTTCAGCCTTTACGTCCTCCCAAGATCTTTTTACTCACTCGCAGACTTGTGAAATAGAGGGCTGCTTCATTCTACCTGAGGGTGTGAGGGCTTGATGTGGCTCTCCTATCCACTTGTTCCATCGTTCTCGCACCTTTTTCTTAAATGGCTTATTCTTCGATACATCTAAAGGCTGCAATTGGCTAGTCAGTCCACCAGGAATGACAGCTATCTGGGTTTTTAATTCTCTCGCTTTATTCTTTATGGTTTCAGTTCTATGGGCGCTAAACTGATCCAAAACCAAAAGAGAAGGTTTTCTTAAGAGTCCACCAGGTCGCCTCGTCCATACATTCTGTAACCACACTTTCATTCCAGCCTTTCGGATGAACATGAACAATTATACCCGTTGGAAGTTTTCCTTTCGAATGAGTTTTTCTTTGAATATGAAAAACAGCGGTAGTTTTGTGCCAACAGCACAACATGTTAGAACTACTGTATATCAGGTTTTTTCATGACCTGTGATTTTTATGGCTATTGATTTAGACCCTTTAATATTCACAGTCTTGTTGGATGGTACATCAAATGTACGTGGAATTTCATCCATATTTCCTATTTGACCGAGCTCAAAAGAAGTTTTCTTGCATGCATTTATAGCAAACCTATGAAATGTAAGTATTTTTTCTTCATAATCTGCTGGCATTTTCTGTACAATAGCTGTTTTTGTGCGCGCATTGATAAGCCTTGCCTTTCCATGAACCTGTAGCACCAGCCCTCAGACGCTGAAAAAGTTCTGATTCCCATGCTTTTATGCAAATCTTTTGGCCTCATTGATTATCATTTTGGTTGAAACACTTATCCAGATTTCCTCTTATCTATCACCCACACTTTTATGGCATTTTCAAGTTCCGGCCAAGATGGAGGTGGGCGTCAAAGGTTATGTTTTTGTTTTTTGGCAGTCTTCAGTTGATCTTCCTGCAGTCGCGAAGTACGTATAATTTTTTCGATAGGTGGTGGACCGAAATGCCTTGCTGCTGCTCTGTTTCATGCACTTTGGCGTAGTTTAACACTCCTAGTTTATACTGAATTGTATAGCTTAATCTCCTGTTTCCTGTAGTCATATTTTCCAGGGTATTTTTTTAAAATAAATAGTTTTAAGCACCGATACCGACACGTTTATACAGAGCAACAATACCGACACACGTGTTGGCTGAGTCAAAGAAAGTCTATGTAAAAAAGGAAAGGCTCCATAGATGTAATGTGACCGTCGAACCTGTTCGAACTTCGACATCAGCTTCGAGCTTTGCCGCTTTTTGGTGACAGATATTTCACGCATGCGCAAAATAATTATGGCAGATGTAGAAAAAGTTATGTGTGTCTAGACCTTTATCCGTGCTAAAAATAACATTCAGTATTGAAAGTTAACCAGTGTTCTTCACGTATAAGACACAGGTAATTTTTTTGAGACCAAATTTAGGGAAAAAATGCGTAAGTGCGTCTTATATGCCGTCAAATACGGTATATCCTTTTACAATATAAGAGGCCATGATTTTCCAGTTTTTCATAAAGTATTTTTCTACTGCATATGTTTTCATCAATTAATAATATATAGACATCTAAGAAGAGTCTAACTAATTTATGTTAAAACAAAGGTTAAGTTAATTTTAAAATATAATAGTTGAATATCTGTGAACAATACTGTGAAAAGACAAATACTATACTGTGAACCTAATAAGTAATATCTTCCAATATTAAGCAAAATTCATTCTACTGTGAAATATATATATATAATTTAACAGGATTAAAAAGCTATAAATGTAAAATAGCTTTGTATACTTTGTAAAAATTTGTAACCATTATGATACTTTTACAAATTATTTTTATTTGCATTCTTATTATGATTTAAAACTAATTATTGATTGTTAATATATTTTGTTTTAAATAAAATATTGATGTCACAAGTTTAAATTAAAAAGTTCTTTATAATCATTCGGAGGGGAGGTAAAATAATGAATCTGTTTCAAAAACACAGTGATCATATTTTCATAATCACCATGAAATTAGTGGTCCCTGCATCTTTCAAATTGATTCATTATTTATTACTAGTAAATTATTAAATGATAAAAATTTTTAAGTGAGAGAGGTGCAAGTTTTAAAAATTGATTATAACCATATGACATATAATAAATGAGATTTGTTAATAGTAATGAGTTATAGAAATATCAGTAAATTTCAAACTTTGTCATTTGATTGAAATGATATCTGCCTACAAAATATTTTTATACATAATTAATAAATATATAACTTATTGTTAGGCATTAAGATTTTCAGCAAGATGATATTACATTACTATTATTATATTATAGTACAGTGGTATATGAGACTGGTGCTTTCTTCATGAAATACCATTTTTAATCTATTACTAATAAAAAATAATATCTTCTTATCTGCAAACTAAAATACATACATATATATATATATATATATATATATATATACAAATTAACTATTTATAGTTTACTAGTTACCAATTTTATACTGTAAAAAATATACTGTTTTTTATTACAATTTTCCATTATATTCCTAGATGTATAGATACAGACTTGCTCATATATGGCATTTTAATATGTCAAAATGATAACATGCAGGTTGCACATATATCATGTTTTACAAAAGTGCTGATTATCCCATACTTTGTAATATGATTTGACAATATATATGCAAATGATATGTGAATTTATATGTTGATGTCTTTCTATTTATTTGCATAGCCAGAGTAAAAATTACTAGAATTTTGCAATTAATTATTGGTTAGCAAATATTTTTGCTTTGAAAAAAAATTGGCATAGCTTTTCTCTTTGATAATTTCATAAAGATTATTCAAAAACATAAGTGGTCACATAAATGAATAATCATAAAAATGTTAAGTAAATGTATTTATCTGATAATAAATAATTCAAATAGGAAAATTCAACCATTCCCTTGATGAAATTTGAACCACAAATCTTCCAATTGCCAGTTGAATATGCTAACCATTTACACCATGAGAGTATGCATGAGAAATTTGATAATTCTTTATATTTTCCCTACTTAAAGGGTGACTAGGGAAAGCCATTAGCTCTATTTGTGCAAATCTGACTCACATTTTAGTTTTGGTGCTACCCTTAAGTTACATTTTTTGTCATATCTATAATGTGAGAAATCAATCGGTTTATACTGCAATTAAAACCACAGATCTTCCAGTTACCAGCTGAATAGGATAACTACTTATACTATGCATAACAGGATGCAACAATTCCTTAAAATTATTAATATATAAGATCATATGAAGAATATATCACATTAAAAATTTCTTTAAACTTATGTATAACAAGCCAATCCAATCCCATCTATTATCAGCTTGAATTCATTGGATTTCTTAAATCTCATACATTTATAAATGCAGGGTGATTCTAAATTACTTTTACAAATTAAGAGGGTTGACAGTACTCATCTAGATGAGCAATAGTTACCATAGAACATAGGATCGCATTCCACACTGAGAGGCAGAAAAGAAGAATCTGAACATTTAGTTACAAACTCACAGAGAGTGCACAAAACAGATAAAACCATAAACTTGGCATTCGAGTGTTAATTCGAGCACAGACTTTGATGGCAAACATTCAAATGCACATCCTTGGTTGGCAAGGTCTCAACCTCACAAATGATTGCAACAAGTTAATCATCTAAATTATTAGGGGGAAAAACTACCTTGATATCTAGTATCAAGGGCTGGATATTATCAACTAACTCCAACATCTGCTGCAAACAAAAATATCATATTGCTGTGATTTTGTTAAAACTGCCCATGACAGTTTCTGAGAAAAAAATGAGGCAGATTAAGTATTACAACTGATCAAAATTTACAAATATGCTAAAAAATAACTAACCTACTTTCCTATCTTTAATTATTATCTGAGAATCATCAATATTTTTATCAGACATTACAACAGCAGGCTTCTTTGGAAATGGAATTTTTTCTGTTGGACTTGTTGTGGTACTACTAACATTTTCTACTTTTTTAGACTGGGGAGCTGGTTTTAGAGGTTTTGAAGTAAACAGTGCATCTTCTTCAAAATCATCAAATAAGCTGGTGCTTACTCTGTTAAAAGACATGTTTACAGATTAACTTGTATAATCAAAATAAATAATAATAAATCTTATAACAATGCACAACTTTCATTCTTTCAGAAAAAGTTACAAGTTAAATGAGTTATAAATTACATAAAATTACATAAAATCCTTAAAATAGTGAGTTAGAATAATCACAGCAGTACAGAATAATAAGTTTATTATAATAAGAGACATCTTTATGAAAATAAAGTTCTTTACTTCCAGCATATCATATACTACAACAATTTTCCCTCCATATGCCCACCATATCAAATGTGATATGATATTACTGAAGGCTTATCATATTAAACACAGTGTTTCATAAAATTAGCAGGTTTTGAATCATGCGAAATTTGTCTTGGATATGTCTGAAGGTTATATCAGCACTATTCTTATTAATTTCATCACCTACCATCACTTCTCAAGCATTTTATTAATTCAGCATTTGTTGTTTACCAGTTTAGTTGTCATACAGTGGTTCATTAAAGAGCAACAAATGTATCATAATAATGAAAACTCATTACAAAAACAGGAAGTGTTATGCCAGACAGTTTATAAATTATACATTATCTTCATGCCTACTCTGAATGAATTAGATATTATGGAAATGTGGTTTCAGCAGGGGCTACCTGCCATACGTCCTATGTCCTATGACTCAATAACATTGTTTCATAAAAAATTTCATGAGCACGTGACCTGACTTCGTAATGGTGACCAGGATATCAGACCCTTCATGGTCATACTTGCAACTTTCTTTTTTACAGGTTTATTTGTCAGGCTGAATATTTACATGAACAAACCACAATTAATTCCTGAATTAAAGAAAGACTGAATAGGACCATTGGCAAAATCAATAAAGATGCCTATGAAAAGGTTATTTTGAATTTCAGTGGACATGCCAAACACTGATATCATTTTTCAGTATAAAACCAAACTGCTCATAGTAAAAAATAATATTTTGATTTTTTATGTAGCTTTGACCAAATTATTGCATTTTAAAAAACCTGAAAAAATTACAAAACACCTATACTTGAAAAAAAAAAAAAAAAAAAAAAAAAAAAAAAAAAAAAAAAACACTTTAGTTGTTAAAAAGGAATGCTTTATTTGAAATTTTAAAAGCAAACAAATGATCTTAGAATACTATAAAACCTAAAACCTAACTGAATTGAATGACTTTAGTTATTACAAATATTATTATTTACTTTTTACTCTGTGAATATAAAATGCTGATCAGCATATTGTTCAGGATTTAAAAACATTTTCCTCTGCAAAAGTGCTTTTACTTTTTGCATACAGCTTTAGCAACAGTAATAATATGGACTGAATTTTTAATAAAGTTTCCAGATTTATTAATGAATAGGAAATAGCTTTAACAAATTATCTTTATTAATAATTTGTATTTTGTCTTATTTTAAATTTTTACTACTCATCAGGATTCTTATTTACATATAAAGAGATAAAATTTTAAAACTAAATGTAATACAAACATTCTGATAAAAAGAATTTCTAGAAATTTGTTTTCCATGTTAGATGCACAGTGATATTCAGAGATTTAGTGTTACAAAGCTGTGGATAAAATTCAATCTCCTCCTGGTGAAATTCATAAATTTGAAATATTTCCTTAGTTAATCAAAGGAACATAACATTTTCTCTTTATAATTCAGACAACTGATTTCTTGTAATTGCAAAATAATTTTTAAAAATAAAAAAATTCATCTTTTCCTCTGAAAAATAGCAAAGATCTTTTTTTTATTTACTTAGATGTATAATCTAATATTTTATTTCCTAAGTAGTACATAAGAATAAATAGATGATACTGATTAACCAAATACCTAAATGGAATACTTGGGATGATATGGGACAAATATAATTAAAGAATCAACACATAATATATTATCCTAAAAGTTAACAAATGTGTTAAAAAATTATTTCTCAAAGTATCAAACTAGAAACCAAATGATTTTGTACCAGGTACATTGAACTGGATGTGGCAAATTTCATAGCATACTTATAAAATATATCAGATGGCATTTATGCCAAATTGCAATTATGCAAATACCACTTATCAGTCAGAATATGACTGAATATGTCAAATGATGGTCCTACTGCACCAGTAGTGAAAGTATGTTTGAACATTATCTAAGGATTGATAACATTGGACATTATCTAAAAATGTTTTAAAATTTTTTCCTTTCCCAGTTATGGATATTGAACATGGAGATCATGAGATGGAGTGACTGCATTTACAGCCACAGTGCGCACAGACTTTTAATGACAGACATTCACAAAAAATTAATTTTTCTTTCTGACAGTATCTCTTTGCTACTCTGGTCTTTTAAAATCATCTGAATACATTGTGCGATAATACTAGAATTCAAGAATTACACCAAAACTGCTATCAGCAATGAGCCTGATGATATGATTCAATTGGTAATGAACAGCTCTGTGTCATTGGAAGAACACATGGTGCACTTCGGCCATCATCTGAAAGAGCACATATTTAATAACGTCTGATAATTGGCATTCCTTTATTTATTATTTACCACAGAGAATAATAAACAGTTATATGCTTATTGAGAATTGCAACTTTATCAATATGCTTTGAATTTTAAATTAGGAAAAAAGTAATTTTATTTTTTCATAAGTTTTTAATAAAATTCTCTTGATTTCAAGGGGGATCAGATATAGACCGCTCTTTTTTAGGAGCAAAAAAAATTGTTGAAAAACTTTCTTCCATTTGATTATGTTATGAATTCTGTTACTTCTACATATGGCGCTAAAAACACACTTTATTAATCACAGTCATGCTGATAATGTTAAAGAACATCAGAAGGATAGATATGTTATAATTTAAATGTATTTTCAATTTGTATAAATTAAATACATTATTAATAATTTGAAAGATAAATTAAGGAATTGAATGGAAGCTCTCTGGAATCATTAAGGATGGATAAATTAAGGATGTTGCATGGAAGACCTCTAGAAATTTGCTTCTTATCAGGCTTCATGGGGTATAAATTAAAGATCTTATGACTTGCATAATGGCAATACTCAATAGGTAATGTAGATGATGTAAAACTTTGGCGTTATGTACAACCTTACCACCAAAATTCTAAAACCAGAAAGTAAAAAGAAACATATGCTATATGCATTCAAAAAGCTAAATTCAAGATTTCACCAGAAGTGATAAGAAGGCAATATGCTATGCTACTCATTTTGGGAAAACTCGCAAACAATTAAATGAAGTGAGAAATTTAGATTCACCACAGTTGTTTTCCTTGCTTCTTACTACATTACTCTGTTTGACACATGACCTTCAAATTTATGCTTGTGCCTTATTATCAAGTGGCCATCAAATGACCTTGAGAGAAAAACTACACTGACACACAGCAAGGATGTTTCTTCTTCGCGCAAGCAAAAAACACCTTTAGAAGAACCCATGACGCTAATATGATTGTTAGATGTCTTCATCTTCCAGGACACCTGCTTTGAAACGAAATTGAAGGTTTGGGACATGGGTGTCAACAACTCAAGAACACGTAATCTGCTTCATATTCACACGTTCTTATCACTGGTACCATAAGCAGTCAATAAGTCAGGAATTTTTTGATAATTAATCCATTTAAGGTCTGGGAAAAAGCTAATGATTTTTTATATATTTATTTAACCATTATTCACATCTGATACTAATTATGTATGGCATATGACATTCTACCGTAATTTAATATTGGGTGGGTGAAGATGAAATGGCCAATTTTAAGGCTGATTCCCCCTCTAAAAAATACAATACTTAGTTAAACAAAGTCATTTCCAGCAGCATCTTGCATGATTGCCAATGTGTGGCAAATAAATCAATGTCTCTAGAAATGATGTAGTCTTCTGCTGCCCAATAAATTTATGCATTACTGGCAAATTATTTATCTGACAAAAAAAGCCTTATTGCCAGAAAAAATAGTATCTGTTAAGAGAAATGTCAGAACAGTATGGATAATGAGTCACAATTTCATACCTCAAATTGCTGACTTTCTGTATGGTTGGTTGGTACTCCATATACGATTGGATGATATCTAGAAGCAAAAGGCCTCTATGTCTGTTTACAAGTGTTAGTTGCTGAAAACTTAATTTATGCATCTGCCTCATATGTGCACAATATTAAATTGCATTTACCATTTCATCTTATGGAAGGAATGTATAGTGAATAACCCTGGGGAACACCACCATACAAAAAACAATCTTTGGATGAAAAGCTGCTTTTGAAGACCTCCCTCAAGTTCCTTTCACTACAAACCATTGTGACAAGTGTGTACAATTGCCTCAGAATATTCATTTCCATCCACAGACACAATTCACAGCAGGAATTCTTCTTCTTAGCAGACTACAGCACACTTCCAAACATTCTGTTTTGTTTTCATCAGGGAGTTCATAAGATATCCACTTGTCGGGCTTTCTTATTTTTTTTTATTATGTCCAAGTACCATGAAACAGTTTAAAGTATACATCTAGTGTTTAGATGGTTCTTCATATGGTTTGTCACACACCTGATTTGGTTCAATTCTTTAACCCAAGTGGCATGACTGCCTTTACTTGGTCAAAAGATTTTTTTGTCATTTGGTACATATTACGTCATTATTATTTAAAATATTTTGTTTTCTTAGTTTCTTTTATAACCAAAATATTATGTCGCTGAATGAAAATTTGTAAAAGAGATAATAAAATAATGAATTACACAAATTCAGCCAAAAAAACGCTGTTTAAATGCAGTTCTTTATATAAAGGTGACTTAAAGAAAATCATCGCATATGACTTTTATTATTTATTTCTTTCAACACAGCAAAGTACGCAAGAGTTATCAACTAAGAGAAGAGATGACTTCGCAAAAGACTTTCTAGGAGAAACTGGATCATATTTATATTTTACACAGGGCAAATCATGAAAACACCCATGCAGTCAGCCTGTTCACTAGAATTAGAAAATAGCTTGAATTATCAGTATTCAATGGTTTTAACCATTTGGCCATTGGTGGACATGAATTTTATTAAAGGTACTCAAGTGTTATTACACAGAAACTGTAATGCAAATATATAAAATATTACATACGTTTTAGTATTAATGTCTGGGCTGGTTGCTTCTTTCCCAGTTTTAACTTCTTCAAAAAGATCTAGATTTTTGGCAGAATCAGATGGTAATACAGATGGATTATCAACTGTTTTTTCTGCAGCAGGAACTTTCATTTTTGGGAAGACTTCTGACACACTACTGTTTGATATGTTTTCATCAGAATTTCCCTTTGATTTTACTTCTTCAGAATTTGTTTTATCAGGTTCATTTGAAGAATCAGTTTTTGGTGTTGAAAATGAAGGCAATCTTTGCGAATTTATTCCTGAAAGCAGGAAAATATAATTTGCATTTAAATTGGTAACACATTAGCAGTAGGAAGTAATACAATTACAAAAAATCCTGATACAAGTGTGGATATAGTGCTTTAAATGAAGTAAAGAACTCAGCCAAATCTTTAGACCAAAAATATGAACTTACACTCATTTAAAAACTATTAATTAGCTATTTATAGTTATCAAAAGGTCACTCTTGTTAATTATTTGAAAGACTTAAATAAATCAAAATACTTATTAATATGAGAAGCTAAAAGTCATATGATATACTGATAAGCTAAACATCCTTTAAATATATTCCTAGTTTCTTTAACTTTCTCTCTTTTTAAAAATTGTTATGATAAAGTATGTGAACAGGGTTCACTAACTTAAATGATAATTAAAACTACTTTTTTAAAAAAATCATAGATTTAAATCATGTAATTTTTTATTAGGGAGGGAAAAAGTCTTATTATATTAAATTATCATTTTATTTTAAGACTTCTGCATTTTGTGTTATTCAATTTCAAAACGGCATTTTGTGTTGATTCACTTTACAAACTATTGCCACCAAATATTATACTTAAAGAAACTAAATAATGAAGAATTTGCATGAATGTTTCTTGCACTGTGAAAAAACAAGGATATCTAGAGTCATCAAATTTTGCATAACTAGTCCTCCAACCGAACATGGGCACTTGGAAACCCGAATTTTGAATTTCAAATTTACTTTATTATCTATTTAAAATTTTGTAAAAGTTTAATGAATTTTTGATAAACAAACTCAATTATTTCAAAGCGAGCAATGGCTACACTGTACGGGAAAAAATTTTTTTAGCTCCAGCATGCAAGAGTGTGTATACGAAATTTTAAAGCTATGCTTTTTTGCTGCTTTTAAATATTTTGTGATATTGCTGTTGAATTGAAGTTTATGTGTTTTAAGTGCAAAGAACATGGTATTTAATCAATAAAGGAAACATGCAAAATGTTTAAAAAAAACACCCTTTTGGACATAATATAAAATCTGAAAGTTTTCATATATTTTTTTTTTTTTTAACTGAATAAACTTCTTAGCTGTCCCAAGAATAAATTTATTGCTCTTTATGAAAATATGAAATGTAAGCTACTTTACAAAATATTTCCATTCATTTTTTTAAAAAAACTATTTTATGAATACAATGCTGTAACTCTCAGTATTAAAATATGCATGCTGCAATATTATTATTACTATCAATAATTAGTTATTTTATGATTTAGATCTTTATTGCCACTTCTGTTTCTTTTTCCCTAGCAGAATGCAAATTAGTTTGAGAGTATTTAAGGTGAGATTTTTGGACTGTAAGACAGAGTGTGTTTCTGTCTCTCGAAGCCACATTATTAGGTTTAGCAGGCTAAGATAAGATTTAATTCTTCAGTTTTGTGTGATAGTTGTTAATATTTAAATTGTTATACTGATGAGAAGTTTGAGTCAGCTTTGCATTAAAGCATTGTAGCCCTTTGATATTAGACTTAGTTTTAAACATGAATTTACTATTACTTTAAAAGCCTTTATGTCCGAAACTACTTTTTTTTTTTTAAGGAGAATTTTAAACTTTTCTATTATATTTCTTTATGCATGAGAAACATTTCACATAAAATTTACAAAAAATGTCATAATTTTTCATTGTTCTTTTTAAATTTAAAATTGGGACTTAAAAGTCCTGTTGGGACATAATTGAGCAATTTAATTGACGGGACTTAAAAGTCCTATTGGGAAATAAAGGGTTAAGTTACACTGCGACAAGTGACTGATTTATAAGCATGAGTCGTGTTTAACAAACCTTCTTAAGACTTGTAATTCTTCTCAGATGAAGCAATAATTCATTCTAAAATGCTCTTTATGAAATTAAGAAAAAGTAGTCTAATACGTCTAATAGGAGTTTGAACTTAGTTTATACTAGCAAAGCAAAACAAACTTTAGGCTCTACTCTTATATGCACTCTAAGATCACCAAATGTGGTGATATGTGTCCTGCGCTGGTTTTTGGCATAAATGCATGCTGTATGGCAACCCTTTTGACGTTGAAAACTCTTTTGCTGGAGTGGTTTAATTGCTCGTGTTGTGCATGTTTTGAAATGCCCTATGTTGCAATGATTATTTTTAGTAGCTGTGCATGATAGAAGCAAGGAAACGCTGATGCAGTGTATTAAAGTGTGGATTGAGCCTTATACAACTATTACTTTGGATGGCTGGAAATCTTACAAGGATTTAGGAAAAGAAGGTTTTGAACATTTATTTGTGAACCATAGTATAAATTTTGTGGATAGCGAGTCCGGCTGTCATATAAATACTATAGAGAGTACGTGGCGGCATGTTAAAGCTACGTTCTGCTGTCCGAAGAAGCATCCATTAAAGTAAGTGCATTTTATTTTATTGTTTTTATTTTGTAGAATGTTATGTTCATTGTTTTTTTACTATGAATTTCTGTTGTTATTATTGTTTCTTGAATTATTTGCAACATATTTTAGTTTATTTTGTTGATTTGTGCGCAATGCTTAAATTGGGCAATTCGTAGATTTTTTTTAAGTTTAAACAGGATGCTGTGTACATGCTGTTCTTTGAAATTTATTGTTATGTTAATTTATTAAAGCAAGGTGTGCGTAGTTCGAAGATTCCTTCGCTGGCTAGCTCGTGCAATTCGTAGATTTTTTTTAAGTTAAAACATCGCTGTGTACATGGATTGTTGTCAAATATTTTTGGTTAGAAATTTTACATTTTTGCTATCTAAATTTTTTGTTTTAGATTTTTAGCTTAAATTGTGTGCTCAAAACATGGTTTTTGCATGTGCGAAAAACGTGTTTTTGGAGACATTTTAGGCTTAAAGTTCAAAATGTAGACAAAAAATTTAGATAGTAATATGGCACCATGGAGTTTCTCGCCAAAAATATTTGGCGACCTGAGGGCGCATATAAGAGTAGTTCCAAACTTTATAATGCAATTATATAATATGCTTATATATAAAATTAGCTTAGATCATTCATTTGTAGATAGCTGAAGGAATACAAAAGTCAGAGAAACTTTCTGCAGGCAAAATAAAAAAATCTCCACAAATATTAAATTTGCAAATCATGCAGTTAATTGAAAAACATACCAAATGTAAAAGTAAGGCTTGTTTTGAAAAATTAATCTGTTTCAATAATCATCATATAAGAGAGGGGAAAATCAATTTTTCTTTTAATGGTCAAGCCACCATTTAATTTTTTCTATGTCACCTCAGTAACTTACTTTGAATTGCTTTAAATATGCCAGTTTTGTCAGTGTGGGTTTATTATTTCTTCAATACAGATGAAGACAATGATGCAAAAACAAAAATATTGAAACAAAGGTTTTTCTACTTAAGTTTCATTTTAAGTTTTAACCAAGACCATTCTGATAGAATTCAACAGTCCTACATTCTTCTTTCCCTACCATCAAGATTTCGAAAATTCTGAATAAAGAAATTTTAAGGATTCCCATTTTATAAAGATATTAAAGTATTACTAGTATATCACGATCTTGTTTGTGATTTCAAGTCTAGCAGCAAGAGCAGCCAGCTTCTGCTAATTAACATATTGCTCCATGTGTTTCAGATGAATTGAAATAAATAACAATTTTTTTTTATTGCCAATTATGTAATAGTGATTATATTACTTAAGAAAGTGTTTCTCTAATGAATGCCAATAATGTTTATAATGTTGGCAATGAAGATGATAATCTCAATGGAAAAGCAACAAGCTGATGTACGAGACGTTTTAAACACAGTAAGAAGTTTGCATCCAGTGTTATTAAATAATACTTCAATATTTTTAATAATTTAAAGAGAAGTGAAAAATTATCAAGTATTACTTATAAGCAGTGGATAATGTTTTCACTTAATTAAAAAACTTCTGCAATTGTTTGTTTGGTTTAATATGACACTCAAGGATTATCTGTTTAATGGGTAACATATTTATGAAGGACATATTAAAACAAAACAAAAAAAAAAAAAAAAAAAGGCTGAGCCATGCTGTATATATGTATGTCAATAGTCTACATTTAAATAGAAAGTCACTGTTTATATCATTTTTTAATAATACTAATCACTAAAAACTATATATTAGATATTTTAAAATAGTACCTTCTGTTTATTCACACCCCCACTGAAAGTCAAGAATTTGTTGCCAACTTTGGAGAGAGACATTTATTTAGGTATTCTTATGTCTATACACATACTTCTTGGAGGTAATTACACCAACTGATAGTTGTGTTTCTGGATAATCCCACTTCTTTTTTACAGAATTTCACTGCTATATATTCCTTTGTCCAATAAATACCATGATTACGAGTTGTAAATGAGATATGCCTCTCCTCAAACCAGTTTCTGGCCCACATCCTACCCCTTTACTTATAATCTGTAACACTGCATTTCCATAAAATTTGGTCATTTGAGAAATACAACTTGTGAATTTTTTAATTCTCTTCTGTTAGATAAAACACCATATGTCTAAAGAAAGGCAAATCGTTCTTTTTTAACGGTTGGCAAAGTCCACAGTCCTATTATGATAAATTACAACAAAAAGATAATCAATAAATTTCAAAAGTACAAATCCATATATCATAGCTGCCTACCTTATACTCTTGGAAAAAAAAAAAAAAAGAAACTAGAAAGTTTTCGCTCGTGCGATTTGAGAGGAGCTCCAAACCGACTTTTACTCACTTTACAGTACAAACTATTTGTAATTCAATTCTGATGTAAAATTCATTAATATTTAACTGGACATTCTAAATTTTATGTTCTTTACCTGGTTCATTTTTTAACTGTCTTATACTTTTATACAAGAAAATTCTGCATAGTGAAGAAAACCTTTATTTGTTGCAGTTCTTTTAAACATAATGAAAATAAAAGCAATAATTAATGTACACAGTATTTGTGAGGATAATGTTAGTAATGTACCATAAGCTATAAAATTACGCAAAATTATATACATACATTAACTGATTATACATTGCTTGA